TAATCTTGCTGTAATAGTGAGGAAAGATAACAATTGCAGATTGATTGATAGCCTACAAAATAACTGACTAATATTCTTTAAAAGTGTTAAGACTATAACAGACTGAAGGACAAAGGAACTACCACAGACTGGAGAAGAGTAGGAGAAATAACAACTAAATGTAACTAACATGGGCTTGTGGATAGGATCCTGGAATAGGGGAAGGACATTAGTGGAAAAACTGGTGAACTGAATAAGACCTAGAGTTAATTGATAGTATTGTACCAATACTATTTTCCTTGTTTTAAATTGTTGTACTATAGTTATTTAAGATGTTAATGTTGGGAGAAGTGAGGTGCCGTTTTTCTGGCAACTTTTCTGTAATCATTAACCAAAATAAAGAAGTTAAAAAAATAATACTATGAAGAGTGTCTTTTTATGGAGTGGTACAGTCTCTGTTTACTGCATCCTCTGCCTCCTGGGTTCATGTGATTCTCATGCCTCAGCCTCCCAAGTAGCTGGGATTACAGGCATGTGGCACCATGCCCAGCTGATTTTTGTATTTTTATTAGATACATGGTTTCATCATGTTGGCCGGGCTGTTCTCAAATTCTTGACTCAAGTGATTCAACCACCTTAGCCTCCCAAAGTGCTAGAATTACAGGTATGAGCCACTGCTTCTGGCTAAGAATGCCTTTTTTTTTTTTTTTTTTTTTTTGTCTGGGAGGCAAATGGAGGTCATCATCTAGTGTTTTCCTACATTGAACCAATTTATTAACTCATGCTAGAGGTTGAAAGACTAATTATAAAGTACTTTTCTTTGATTTCTCATGTATACTGTAATTAGAGAACTAATTTTTGTTTTGCTTATAAGCCAAAATATTTTTGCAGCCTTGACATATCCTATGTAGTCAATAAAAGTTACTCCCAAGATTTTTTCTGCTAACAATTTTTTATATGTAAAATGTTTAGATGTTAAGTTTATTAATATCATCAAGATAGTATCTTTATGATCACTTTATAGGGTTTTTCAGTTTTTATTTGAATTTGCTTGTCATTAGTTTAGCAGATTCTGACAGATGAATCAATGAAAGTTTTTTAGATATAAGCATATCTGGAGAGCAAATATACTTCTTTCTCAAAAGCCTAGACTGTATGTTGGAAAGTTGCGGAAATAAGTCTGAAAAAGGAGGTGGTAGATTTTTATCTCATTGTGAAAGACATTTGAATTGCGGGTTAATATTTTTGAACTGGACTCTCTAAACCATAGATTTTTAGTAAGGGTGGTCTCTACCTCTAGAGATCATTATAAGAATTTGTGGAGGCATTTTTTTGGTTATTACAATGGTTAGATAGTGTGTAGGGATCCAGAGATGGTAGACAGCTCATAGTGCTCAGACTGTCCCACATAAACAAGAACTATCCCACATCCAAAAGGACTTTTTCTTCCCTTAACTTATACAATTAGAAAAGACGAAATGACTTGTTTTTTCTGAAACAGAAGTGGAATGTCCTGTTGGAGGCTGGGCACAGTTGGCTCACGCCTGTAATCCCAGCACTTTGGGAGTTTGAGGTGGGCGGATCAAGAGCTTAAGACCAGCCTGGCCAACGTTGTGAAACACCATTTCTACTAAAAATACAAAAATTAACCAGATGTGGTGGTGTGCACCTGTAATCCCAGCTACTTGGGAGGCTGAGGCAGGAGAATTGCGTGAACCTAGGAGGCAGAGGTTGCAGTGAGACAAGATCAGGCCATTGTACTCCAGCCTGGGTGGTGAGTGGAAACTCCATCTCAAAAAAACAAAAAACAAAAAACAGATGTCCCACTGACCACTTATATAAGTGAAAATACTGTTTATACTTTTTTAAAATTAGAATTTAATTTTGTTTTGCTTATAAGCCAAAATATTTTTGCATGATACTAATACATGCTGCATTTTCCAGGGATGATATTGTATGAGTTAAGGAAAGATAATACCTTGTTTTGTTTGGAATATGAAAAATTTTTTCACTGTCACAAATATATATATACCCCATAGGGGATTTTGATCATGTTTTTGAGTCACCAGCATACTCACGTTGGCCTGCATTCATAGTTTTCACATTCCCACTGATGCAACATTGGTTTGAGTGTCTGACAACCTTATTGTCTTTTAGTTTAGTTGTGGCCAAGCATTAACAGGTTGAAATACTTATACTAATTATTAAGTACTTTTCTTTGATTTCTCATGTATATTGTAATTAGGGAACTATATTGATGCTTCTAACATGATACACACGTAGCTCCTTTCAGGATTTGTTATATAAGAGAATGCTGGGTCTGATAGGTTTGAGAACCAGTGATTCAATGATGGAGAATCAATGAAAGTTGATGATTAAGGCATCAAGACTGCATTTTTGGAGAATTTGTCCACCATGGAGTGTGTGGCAGGGTTTGAAGAGTTTAGAGACTTGCTTTTAGCTATCTTCAGTGATTTAATGGAGTTTTCAATAGATACATGATGACTCAGGAGTGGAAAGGAAGGGATATAAGAGGCATTTGGAAGAAAGAACCAGTTAGTAGGCTTGAAGGATGATTGAGGCTGATGAAAGATGTGAGCCTGGGTTATGGGAAGAATCTGAGAGTCAGAGAGCAGCTAATTTTGAGTACCTCATCAGTTTTAGAATAATTATTCTATTAGTAGAGCATGTATACATAATAATCATTCTCCTTGTACAGTGCTTTTTGAAACGTAATGAAAATCATTGTCTTTAGCATTATATCTGTAATGATGAATTACAGCTTTTAGTCAGAGTAGTGTTTTTTTCTACTGGACTACCTTGCTTTTAGTATGACATTCCGTGGAAATGTAAGTAAAAACTATTTAAAGTTTTTTTTTTTTTTTTTTTTTTTTTTTTTTTTTTGGCAAATATGCCCTTGGTTTATTAGAGGATAGGATCCTATAGTTAGAGATTACAATACTCCAGTTTTTCATTACATCATTTTATTGAGCATTTAGTCATCTGCAAATGTCTTTACAGTGAAGCCGAAGGGATACAACATAAACAAAACAATGTCTTTACTCTTATAGAGCTAACATTCTAGTGCAGGTGAACAGATAAGGGCAAGTAAACAAAGGAAAAGTGATTTTTTAAATAAAATAAGAGTAATGCTATAGAGTATATTGGTGGTGGTAATGCTCCTGCTGCTGCCTTTACTTTATGGAATATGGTCAGCAAAAGTCTGTTTGAGGGAATTATATTGGCGTTAAGACCTGAATGATAGGGAGCTAGTCTTCTGAAGATCTGGGACAAAAACATTTCAGGCAGAAGGAAGAGCAGTGTAAAGGCTTTGAAGCAGGAAGGAGCTTAACATATTTTAGGAATAGAGAAAGGTTAGTGTGGCTAGATATTTTAGCAGGTGAGAGGTGGAGAGGGATGCAAGATAAGGGTAGACACGAAAGTAGAGCTTAATGCAGTAAGCTGTTAAAAGGTTTTAAAAAAGTAGAGAACTGATCTGATTTCCATATTACAAAATAGCATTTGGGTTGCAATATGGTATTTAGACTAACAATCTAGGTGAGAGATGTTGGTGCCAATAGAGATGGATATATAAGAAGATGGTTGGCCGGGCGCAGTGGCTCAAGCCTGTAATCCCAGCACTGTGGGAGGCCGAGGCGGGTGGATCACGAGGTCAAGAGATCGAGATCATCCTGGTCAACATGGTGAAACCCCGTCTCTACTAAAAATACAAAAAATTAGCTGGGCATGGTGGCGTGTGCCTGTAATCCCAGTGACTCAGGAGGCTGAGGCAGGAGAATTGCCTGAACCCGGGAGGCAGAGGTTGCGGTGAGCCGAGATCGCGCCATTGCACTCCAGCCTGGGTAACAAGAGTGAAACTCCGTCTCAAAAAAAAAAAAAAAAAAAAAGATGGTTTCAGGATAATTTTGGAGGTCTATCTAATAGATTGCTCCTGTTTTACATATGAGCATATGAGGAAACAAATTCAGAAATGTACAGGAGGTTGCCTTCACACAGATAGGAAGTGGTGAAGCGGGGTTTCAATTTAAGTCTAATTCTAAATCCTGAGTTCCTAACAATACTATTAAGCACTTTAGAATATATAGAGAAGACATATAGTTTAGTAAATAATTTGGGTATATATATTGCACATATATGTATATAATTAGCAGTCTTGGTTGCAAGGGACAGAACCCATCTCAAAAAAAAAAAAACAAGTGGACCTTTTGGTTCATGTAAATTTCACCATGGACAGCACTAGGGTAAGACTAAAAGGAAGGAAATGTGGATTCAGAAACTTGCAGCACTGCCAGGACTTTTAGGTATGTGATGTGATATCATAAATGTTATGTATTTGGATAAATATTTCTGCTGGTCTGCTTTATTATCACTTAGAGTTGATAGGCATTTACTTGAAGTGGAGACCATGAGAGCTGCCAGCCTGTCCTTCCAGGTTGTGACCTAAGAGGTGATAAGAGTCTTCCTCCACTGGTTTTAATTGGCCCCCCTCTAATTGGTCTGGCTTGGATCAAGTTACCCAAACTTGATCAAATGCTGTGTGTTTCTTAGTACATGTGTGTAATCATTAGTGTTAATATACATGTATTTGTAGTATGTTTAATATAGTAGTACTCATCCAGAGGACGGCCCTTTCAGAAATTTTAGCTATTTGTGGTTCAGGGGAGAATCCACAAAGTAAATTAGTCCAAGAGTTCTGAGCAGCTAAGTGTTGCGTTAGATGTCTGAAGCCCTACTCTGTATTACAGTTTTATGTTTACTTATAGGAAAGCCACTTAGACCCTACTCACATCTGATTTTACATATGGTTATAATAAGCTTGATTATCATTGGGCGGTCTTATAGAAGATGAACAGGACTGTATTAGTGAAACAAGGTAAGAGGCTTTTGAGCTGTGCTGCTGAACAGGCATTTTGACAGCAAAAAGCAACACAACAATAAGAAAAGAGCAAGAAAAATATTTAAGCCAAAATGCCTTTTTTGTTTTAAGAAACAGAGCCTTGCTATGTTGCCCAGGCTGGAGTGCAGTGGCTGTTCACAGGTATGATCATAGTGCACTGCGTCCTCAAATTCCTGGCCTTAAGCAATCTTTCCACTTCAGCCTCCTGACTTGCTGGGACTGTAGGTGCATGCCACCACACCCGGCTTTAAGCCAGAATGACTTTTAAAATTTGTGTTCGGTTTTCAGTTTTTAGGTGATCCTGGATACCTTAATATTTCCTGAGGAAATTCAGTTAGTATTTATTATATACCCACAATATGTCAAGCATTATGCCAGTTGGGGATAATAAGATAGACTTGGTCCCTGTCCTCAGGATGACACTATAATAAAATGGATTGTTACAATAGAAGAATAGAAAAGTGAATTGGTAGTGTAAGTCTTGATCACTTCAGAATGACCAGGGCACTGATAGGGAGGGAGTGCATTACAGTGGTTAGGGTCATACATGTTGGAATTAGATATGGATTTGAATCCCACAGTCGTTATTTTACCAGCTGTCTGTATTTTGGCAAGTTATTCAACCTCTGTAGTCTCTCTTTTCCTAACTATAAAATGGAATAGGCCGGGCACGGTGGTTCACGCCTGTAATCCCAGCACTTAGGGAGGCTGAGACAGGTGGATCGTGAGGTCAGGAGTTCAAGACTAGCCTAGCCAACATGGTGAAACCCTGTCTCTACTGAAAAAAAAAAAAAAAAAAAAAAATTAGTTGGGCATGGTGGCATGCACCTGTAATCCCCCTACGTGGGAGGCTGAGGCAGGAGAATCGTTTGAACCTGGGAAGCGGAGATTGCAGTGAGTGGCGATCATGCCATTGCACTCCAGCCTGGGCAACAGAGTGAGATTCTCTCTTAAAAAAAAAAAAATCAGTAATACCCTTTTGTATTAGCACAATTAAATGACATAGGATATATTAAGCATTTAAGCACTGTCCCTAGCATGAGTGCTTTTACTGTAAGGGCACTGATTTGGAGAAAACTGCTTACTAATTCTAAGACAAATAAAAACTATTTTACCATCTGTGCAAAACTGATTTAAAAAGCTGAATAAGCAACTAGGTCATAAATTATCAACATTAAAATAAGCACTTATTAACCTTCAGTATTTTGGTATGTTAGACATGGTATGTTAGACCTCCATAGATGAGGTCTACAGAAAAAGAATCTTAGTCAAACTAGAAAGGCCAGGAAATTAATTATTGAATATGTTACAGATATCCTTGTATGGTTAAGGACCTGATATTGATACAGTGGAATTGTAAAGTGGGGGAACTTAAGATAATTTTTAGTTCACCTCTTATTTTGTAACAGAGGAGGCAAAGCAAACTATTCCTTATACAGAGTTACTGCATAACTAATGAAAATCAGAAATGCCCTTTTTTTTTAAACAGAATTTCAGCGAGGTAGAAATAATTATGCAAATTGAATACCACTAAAAGAAGAATCTGGCCGGGCACGGTGGCTCATGCCTGTAATCCCAGTACTTTGGGAGGCTGAGGCAGGTGGATCATCTGAGGTCAGGAGTTCAGACCAGCCAGGCTAACATGGTGAAACCCCATTTCTATTAAAAATACAAAAAATTAGCTGGACGTGGTGGCACACGCCTGTAATCCCAGCTACTTGGGAGACTGAGACAGGAGAATCACTTGGACCCGGGAGGCGGAGGTTGCAGTGAGCCAAGATTGCACTCCAGCTTGGGCAACAAGAGCGAAACTCCGTCTCAAAAAAAAAAAAAAAAAGTAGAAGAATCTACCACATCTCATAGCCTACCTGTCTCACCTTTCATCTTCCAGACCTATGAATGCGTTCATTCAACAGGTACTTATTGGAGTGCCTGCTGTGTTTTATGGCAGGCATTATTTTGGAAGTTTATAGTCTTGCAATAGAGGAGGCTAAAACATCAAGCACATTGATAGTTAAAGTGTTTCACCTTGCAGACCTCTGGGGAGAGATTGATATGGATTTAGAAGTTGTGCTCATCTCAGGCAAACATACAGGAGTTGATGGCATGTGGCAAAAAGTTTTTTTCTTCATGGAAGCTAGCAAAAGGAAACAGAAAGGGAATACAAGGTGAGAGAGATGGCTTTTCACTATACTTTCCATTCAAGATGTATTTTCAAATAACAAGTATATATTTAGGATCGACTATGTGTGTAGTACTTTGGTAAATGGGAAGAAATACAAAAGAGAAATAACATAAACTCTGTCCTCAAGAAACTGACTCTTTTGTTAGGACGAGACTATTTGAAATAAGGGGAGAATTCTATCTAGCAATCTCCCTTTCATATTTTTGCCTAGGTCAAATAGTTTTCTGCAGGATTTTTTAACATACAGGAATCTATACTATAATTCTCTTTATTTAAAAAAAAAAAAAAAAAAAAAGCTTTGTAGACCAGGCGCAGTGGCTAACGCTGGTAACCCTAGCACTTTGGAAGGCCAATGTGGGCGGATCACGAGGTCAGGAGTTTGAGACCATCCTGCCTAACACGGTGAAACCTGCCTCTACTAAAAATACAAAAAAATAGCCAGGCATGGTGGTGAGCACCTGTAGTCCCAGCTACTCAGGAAGCTGAGGCAGGAGAATCGCTTGAACCCAGGAGGCAGAGGTTGCGGTGAGCCGAGATTGCACCACCGCACTCCATCCTGGGCGACAGAGTCAGACGCCATCTCAAAAAAAAAAAAAAAAAACAACTTTGTAATGAAAGTTTTAAAATACTTACACAAGTAGAGAAAATAGTATAATGAACCCCACCCCATACCCAGTCTCTATATTCAACAATTACCATTATTTTGCCATACTTGTTTTGTTGATTTTTCTTTTTTCTTTTCCATTCCTTCCTATTTCGCTCCCCATTTTGCCTTCCTTCCTTCCTTCCTGCATTCCTACATTTAAAAATAAATTTACGATGTTGCTCATTTTTACTCCACGCACATTGTATTAGTCCATTTTTTTCACACTGCTGTACAGATACTACTTGATACTGGATAATATCTAAAGGAAAGAGGTTGAGTTGACTCACAGTTCTGCATGGCCAGGGAGTCCTCAGTAAACTTACAGTCATGGCGGAAGGCAAAGGGGAGGCAAGGTGTATCTTACATGGCAGCAGGAGAGCGTGAGAGTGCGTGCAGGGGAAACTGTGACTTTTAAAACCATGAGATTTTGAGAACTCCCTCACTATCACAAGCACAGCATGGAAGAAACCATGCTGATCCAGTCACCTCCCACCAGGTCCCCCTCTCAACATGGGATTACAATTTGAGTTGAAATTTGGGTAGGGATACAGAACCAAATCATATCACAATCTATATTACAACATAACCCATATGCACTTTAATATTACTAATCAGTTCTCTAATGATGACCATTTTTCATTGTTTATAGTTTATTTCTTAGTAGTGCTTTCTGGAATATCCTTAAATACCTGTATCTTTTTTAACATCCTTGTGTATACCTCTTTTCTCACACTTGGCTTCCTCTTGGAATAGAATCTCCTGGAAATTACATAGCTGAAGTAAAAATCCATGAACCTTTTATAAATGACTACACAGTGAATACCAAACTGACTTTCAGGAATGTAGTTCCGTCAACAGTGTGCTTGTTTATTCATATCTGTGCTGATCTGGGTTTTGTCTGTCTATTGATTTTTACCAATCTCCCAATATCATAGATTTTAAAATATTTTTGTGTGCATTTAAAAATTATTAATGAGATTGGGCATTTTTTATTTTGTAAATAATTTAAAAATTTTTCAGATTAGTTTTTTGTGTGTACATACATGGTGTATGTAGTTGTATGTATTTATAGGTTACATGAGATATTTTGATATAGGCATGCAATGCATGAAAATTATATCAGAGTAAATGATATCCTTAATCATTTATTTTTTATGTTACAGAAATCCAATTATATTCTTTTAATTATTATTTAATGTACAATTAAATTATTTTTTGCTATCAAATACTATGTTTTATTCATTCTGGGTTTTTTGTTTGTTTGTTTTTAGATGGAGTTTCGCTCTTGTTGCCCAGGCTGGAGTGCAATGGCATGATCTCGGCTCACCACAACCTCTGCCTCCTGGGTTCAAGCGATTCTCCTGCCTCAGCCTCCCAAGTAGCTGGGATTACAGGCATGTGCCACCATGTCCGGCTAATTTTGTATTTTTAGTAGAGACGGGGTTTCTCCGTTTTGATCAGGCTGGCCTCAATCTCCTGACCTCAGGCGATCCACCCACCTCAGCCTCCTAAAGTGCTGAGATTACGGGCATGAGCCACTATGCCTGACTATTCATTCTGGTTTTTTTGTACCCATTAACCATCCCTATTTCTCTACCACCACCTCGCCTCCCTACCCAGCATCTGGTAACTATCCTTTACTCTCTACCTCCATGAGTTCAATTGTTTTAATTTTTAGTTCCCACAAATGAATAAGATCAGGTGAAGTTCGTCTTTCTGGGCCTGGCTTATTTCATTTAACACAGTGCTCTCCAATTCCATCCGGGTTGTTGAAAATGACAGGATCTCATTCTTTCTTTATGGCTGAATAATACTCCAATGTGTTTACGTACATTTTCATTATCCATTCATTTGTTGATGGACAATAAGGTTGCTTCCAAATCTTGATTATTATAAATAGTGCTGCAGTAAACGTGGGAGAGCAGGTATCTTTTCCATATGCTAATTTCCTTTCTTTTTCGTATATACCCAGCAGTGGGATTGCTGGTTTATATGGTGGCTCTGTATTAGTTTTTTGAGGAACCTCCAGACTGCTCCATCGTGCTTGTACTAATTTACGTTCCCACCAGCATTGTGTTAGGGTTCCCTTTTCTCTGCATCCTCACCAATATTTGTTATTGCCAGTCTTACAGACAAAGGCTACATAACTGGGATAAGATGATGTCTCATTTTAGGTAATATCATCTGCAAACTACCAGGGTGGTTTGACATCTTCCTTTCCAGTTTGGATGCTCTTTATTTCTTTCTCTTGTCTGATTGCTCTAGCTACAGCTTCCAGTATTATTTTGAATAAAAGTGGTGACAGTGGGCATCCTTGTTACGTTTCAAATCTTAGAGAAAAGATTTTTAGTTTTTCTCCCTTCAGTATGATACTAGCTATGGGTCTCTTATGTGTGGCTTTTATTATATTGAGGTATGTTTCTTCTATACCCGGTGTTTTGAGCGTTTGTATCATGCAGGAATGTTGAATTTTATCAGATGCTTTTTCAGTATCAATTGAAATGAACAAATGAGAAAAAATAAATAAAAAAGGAAAATAAAAAATAGAAAAAGAAAGAAAGCATATGGTCTTTGTCTGCCATTCTGTTGATATGATGGATCACATTGATTGATTGTGTATGTTGAACCATCCTTGCATCCAGGGATAAATCCCACTTAGTCACAATGAATGATGTTTTTGATGTGTTGTTAAATTTGGTCTGCTTGGCCAGGCTCAGTGGCCCATGCCTGTAATCCCAGCACTTTGGGAATCCAAGGAGGGTGGATCACTTGAGGCCAGAAGTTCGAGACCAGCCTAGCCAACATGATGAAACCCTGTCTCTACTTAAAAAAATGCAAAAATTAGTGGGCAAGGTGGTGGTGTTGCCTGTAATCTCAGCTACTTGGGAGGCTAAGACTGGAGAATTACTTGAACCTGGGAGGTGGAGGTTGCCATGAGCCAAGATCATACCACTGCACTCCAGCCTAGGTGACAGAGTGAGACTCCGTCTCAAAAAAAATTGTTTTTGGTTTCCATGTCTTTTGTTGAGGATTTTTGCATCAATATTCATCAGTGATACTGGCCTGTAGTTTTCTTTTTTAGATGTGCCTTTGTCTGCTTTTGGCATCAGGGTAATACTGGCCTCATAGAATGAATTTGGAAGTATTCCCTCATCCTCTATTTACAGAACAGTTTGAGTAGAATTGATATTAGTTCTACTTTAAATATTTGAAAGGATTCAGCAGTGAAGCCATCGGGTGCCAGGCTTTTCTTTGTTAGGAGACATTTTATTATGGCTTCTATCTCATTATTTGTTATTGGTCTATTCAAATTTTGGACATGGTTCAGTTTTGGTATGTTGTATGTGTCCAGGAATTCACCCATTTCTTGTACATCTTCCAATTTATTGTCATATAGCTGCTCAGTAGTAGACACTAGTGATCCTTTGAATTTCTGTATTGTCAGTTGTAATGTCTCTTTTTTCATCTCTGATTTTATTTATTTGGATCTTCTCTCTTTTTTTCTTAGTGAGTCTGGCTAAAGGTTTGTTGATTTTCATTTATCTTTCCCAGAAACCAACTTTTTGTTTTGTTGATCTTTTATATTCATTTTAATTTCATTTTTTATTGTGTGATCCTCATTATTTCTTTTATTATGCTAATTTTGAGTTAGTTTTCCTCTTACTTTTTTAGTTCCTTCAGACAAATCACTGGTTTGTTTACTTGAAGTTTTTCTCCTTTTTTTTTTGATATAAGTGCATATAGCTATAAACTTTGCTTCTAGTACTGCTCTTCAGTCAGCTTGTGATGGATGCCTCCTGTCCTGGGACTAACCCTTCAGGGCAGTGGCCTCCGCACTGGCCCAGGGCAGGTCCAGAAATGGCATCCAAGAGCCAAGATGTGGAACCATGGACTCTAAAAGCCCACCTAGTGCTCTACACTCCTGTGGCTGAGCTGACCTAAGATACAAGACAAAGTCCCCCTTATTTTTTCCTCAGCTTTTCTCAAGCAAAAGGAGTCTGTCACCATAGCCATCATAGCTGGGAATGTCTTTGGTCTCACCTGAAGCCAGCATGTCTCAGAGGCTAACCCAAGGCCCATGGCATAGTACCTGGCTATTGCTGTTGGTTATTTAGGGGCCCAGGGCTCCTTAGTCAGCAAGTGATGGGTATACCAGGATTAGATCCCCCCACTTCAAGACAGCAGGTTCCCCCATCTGTCCCAGGGTGTGTCTAGAAACGTCTAGGAGCTAGAGCCTGGAATGATTCAACTAGTGCCCTATCCTTCTATGGTTGAGCTGGTATCCAAGATGTAAGACAAAATTCTCTTTACTCTTCTCTCTCCTCTCCTCTCCTCTCCTCTCCTCTCCTCTCCTCTCCTCTCCTCTCAAGCAGAAGGAATGGGTCTCTTGAAGTTGCAATCTGTGCTGCCTTGGGCTGGCGGGGGGTGGTGTAAGCACTCCCTTAGCTGCTCTGGCTAGTGTCTCAGTAAGTTGTGTACATCTGAGCCCAGCTCAGCCCTGGGACTTGCCTTGAAGTTACAGTCCTTGTGGCCTAGATTGCCTTTCAAGTTTATTAGGAGCCCCACAGCAGTTTGGCTCACAGTGCAAGGCTTGCTAGAACTCATGTCCTCACCATTAGAATGGACGATTCCCCTCTGTCTAGAGCTAGTCTAAATGCTTCCTCCGTGATCGTGTATCAGCTGAGTTTAGCCTAGTTTAGCTTTCTGCTGTGAAAGGGTGGCAGTGAGTTCAATGCAACATCTCACAGTCGCTGCTCTCTCCCTCTCCCAAGCATACAGATTCTCTGTGCCATACAGCTACTGCTAGGGGATGAGGGAGGGGTAGTATTGGCTATTCAAGACTATCTTTCCTACCTTCTTCAATGCCTCTTTCAGTGATATGAAGTTAAAACCAGATACTGTGAGTGCTCACCTGATTTTTGGTTCTTAAGAAGGTGCTTTTTTGTTTGTAAATAGTTGTTAAATTTGGTGTTCCTGCAGGAGGAGTGATTGGAGGCTGCTATCTGGCCATCTTGCTCCACTCCTCTATTTTTTTTTTTTTTTTTTAAGAAATGGTCTCGCCGGCCGCGGTGGCTCAAGCCTGTAATCCAGCACTTTGGGAGGCCGAGGTGGGTGGATCACGAGGTCAAGAGATCGAGACCATCCTGGTCAACACGGTGAAACCCCATCTCTACTAAAAATACAAAACATTAGCTGGGCATGGTGGCGCGTGCCTGTAATCCCAGCTACTCAGGAAGCTGAGGCAGGAGAATTGCCTGAACCCAGGAGGCGGAGGTTGCGGTGAGCCGAGATTGCGCCATTGTATTCCAGCCTGGGTAACAAGAGCGAAACTCCGTCCCCAAAAAAAAAAAAAAAAAAAAAAGAAATGGTCTTACTATGTTGTCCAGCCTGGCCTTCATAGTCATTACTGACCATTTGTATTTATTATTTTGTGAGTTCAGGATAATCTTTCATAAACATCACTTTCATTGTTTTACTTTTCAAATTCCAGAGTATCATTATTTCATACCCCTGATTTTTAAGACACTTCATAATTTGACCCCAACCTATTTTTCTAACTTAATATTGTCCAGCAGGAGTCACTCTACTCCAATAAGAAATATTTTCTTATTTATATAACTCATTCTGTTACTTTTTTTTCCTGGATTCATTTAGCTATGTTTTCTTCTGCCTACCCAAAATCTTATAAGGATTCTTTTAACTCATCTTGTAATAAAGTTGTAATAAAGTAGCTCAGATCATCTAGCCTTTATCAGTTTCTTCTTATTCCCACAGTAACTCTTGTTTCTACCACTAGGTTTAGTAGCAAATTATTGACTGCCTTGTATTTTTATCAAGCACCAGCTGTGTGCCAGGAAACAATACAGTCTGTATAGCTGTGGATGGAGCACAGTCTTTGTCCTTAAGTTTATAGTAATTATGCGTTTTCCAGTTATTTGCTTATTAGTGAAGTTGATCTTCTTTTCATATACCTCTGTACGTATTAACCGTACACACATTTTTAGGAGTATAGTTTATGGGTTCCCAACTGGATTGTAAGATTGTCGAGGGCATGAACCATGTTTTATACTTCTCTATTCCTTAAAATACGTAACTCAGTTCTGAGCATGTAGCCATTACTAAGTATGTATGTGCTCTACTTCAGTAGTAAGAAAAGTTGGAGGCTGTGGAAACACATAACTGGCCTCATATTATATAACTTAAGATATTATGAACCAACTGTGCAGTGTTTGCCAAGTCATGTAACTACTCTCAGTGTACGTCCTCATAAAGTAAATATCTGCTTCACATGGTTGACATGTGGGTTAAATGAGATCTATATATAAAGCATTTGGCATAATGCCTGGTACAAAGTAAGTGCTCCAAAGATACCTGTTATAATAATTTGTTTAATCTCTCAAACTAGAAACTGATTCAGCAACCTTTTTTTTCCCTAATGCCTTTCATTTAAGCATTTACCAAATTCTTCTCAGTTTAATTATGTTGTCAATTTATCCTCTCTTTTTAATCCCTGTTGTAGCCTACAATAAGAAATACATTTTATATTGTGGCTTAGTTTATTTGTACATATCTTACTGTTTATTTGTACATATTTAAAACAAAAGTATCAAGAAATCATATTTATTGTTACAATGTGTGATACACTCTGACATTTTTGGTTCATTCCTATATAATTAAAAAAAAAAAAAAAAAGAAACCTGGTCACAGCCAGTAAAATTGATTTCACAACGTACAGTCTGAAACACACTGGTCTGAGTTTTTAGAAGCTGCAAAATTTCAACTACTACTGAACAGGATAATGTTCAAGTGAAAGTTTTCAATGAAATAGGAAACACAGAGCTTAGAGTTTATTAAGATTCCACTTTGTCTTTGCTCTCTATTAGTTATATATTGTCAGATTTACCTGTGCTTACTCTGGTTTCACTGCTGAAGGTAGAAGTGTTCAATTGGGCCTAGTCCAGTGTTGTTATAGAATAAGATTATTCGGCAGTTGGGGTAGAGATTTCCACCTTGCAAGGCAAGAGTTTCTTTTTTTTTTTTTTCCATTTATTTATTTTATTGCATTTTAGGTTTTGAGGTACATGTGAAGAACATGCAAGGTTGTTGCATAGGTACACACGTGGCAGTGTGATTTGCTGCCTTCCTCCCCATCACCTACATCTGGCATCTCTCCCCTTGCTATCTCTCCCCAACTCCCCACCCCCCCACCGTCCCTCCCCTATTTCCCCCCAACTGACCCTAGTGTGTAGTGCTCCCCTCCCTGTGTCCATGTGTTCTCATTGTTCAACACCCGCCTATGAGTGAGAACATGCGGTGTTTGATCTTCTGCTCTTCTGTCAGTTTGCTGAGAATGATGGTTTCCAGGTTCATCCATGTCCCTACAAAGGACACCAACTCATCGTTTTTGATGGCTGCATAATATTCCATGGTGTATATGTGCCACATTTTCCCTGTCTAGTCTATCATCGATGGGCATTTGGGTTGGTTCCAGGTCTTTGCTGTTGTAAACAGTGCTGCAGTGAACATTCGTGTGCACGTGTCCTTACAGTAGAACGATTTATAATCCTTTGGATATATACCCAGTAACGGGATTGCTGAGTCAAATGGAATTTCTATTTCTAGGTCCTTGAGGAATTGCCACACTGTCTTCCACATTGGCTGAACTAATTTACACTCCCGCCAACAGTGTAAAAGTGTTTCTATTTCTCCACATCCTCTCCAGCATCTGTTGTCTCTAGATTTTTTAATGATCGCCATTCTAACTGGCGTGAGATGCTATCTCAATGTAGTTTTGATTTGCATTTCTCTGATGACCAGTGATGATGAGCATTTTTTCATATGTTTGTTGGCCTCATGTATGTCTTCTTTTGTAAAGTATCTGTTCATATCCTTAGGCAAGAGTTTCTTAACCAC